CCTAGTGCTGCCCCATGGGGAAGGTGGCTTGGCTTCTGGCATCCTCGGCGCCGTGCCCTTTCCCTGTGCCCAGCCTCGCCTCACCTTAGCTCCCGGGTGTGGGGTGGACGCCGGCTTGCTGGCCTTGGGTGTGGGGAGCTGGCTTCACTCTGGCCGCAGGTCGGGCCACACGCTTCCACCTGGCCCTCCTTCCTTGTCCTCCTGAAAGGTCTGTGCAGTTGTGACTCCCGTGGCTCCCTGGAGCTCAGTCTGAGGGTTTCTGGCCGGCCCTGAGGGAGGTGGCGGGATTCGGTGGTTAGGCACATCCGTCCCCGGAGAGCAGGGTTTGGGGAGGCGGGTAGGCAGAGGCCATCTGCAGGGGGGGGATGGGATAGGATAGGGGGGAGGGTGCTATGCAGGTGGGCAGCATGGGACGAGTGAGAACCTGGTGGCTCCAGTCCCTGAAAGTCACATGGGTGGCCGGGGAGGGGCCAACGTGCTGCAGAAAAACGTCAGGAAGCCCACAGCACTAGAGCTGTAGGCAGAGGCAGAGGTGGGAGCAAACGCGATCAACAGCCAGGAAATTCCACACACTCATGTATTTATTTCGATAAGTGACCACCTCCCTGTCCCGGTTGTTGCAGTTCCTGGACAATCGTAGGGGTTGCTGCCCTCATCCTGCTCCTGGTAGCCCTGCTGGCTCGTGTCCTCGTCAAAAGAAAACCACCCCGGGACCCGCTGTTCTATGGTACGTGTCCACGGGCCCGTGGGACGGAAACTGTTGGGGTCCACTCAACAGCACAACACTTGACTTTTGCCTGCATTATGTTTCTTCTATGAACAAGAAGTCTGCCTCCAATGCCCTGAGCCCGCTGGTAATGTGGTAGGAAGCGTAGGAGTAGTTCAGGGCCACACAGTCCTCCCTCCTCCCCTCCAAACTAACGCCTCCTCCGGGCTGTGGACCCCACCCTTTCCCAGCTGAGATCAGGGCGGAAGGTCACTGCCAGGGACAGCCAGGCAGGATGCCCCTCTGTTCCTCACTCCAACCCCAGCCGTGCTCTGACCTCTGATCTCCACTCTCCTTCCTGCACCTCTGGCCCTCTGGCAAACAGCTTCACCTGGTGTGGAACTTAGCTGTCCAAGTACAGTGGCTCGGTCTGCACGTTTGTATAATGAGGAAACTAACAGCACTTACCACGGAGGGCCGGGGCAAACATTAAACAATATTTGTAAAATACTTATAACAGCGCCTGAAAAATACACACGTGCATTAAATAAATAAAAACACCACTGATTAAGCACTTAAGAGTGTGCCTGGGGGCGCCTGGGTGGCTCAGTCAGTTAAGCGTCCGACTTTGGCTCAGGTCATGATCTTGCGGTCCGTGAGTTCGAGCCCCGCGTCGGGCTCTGTGCTGACAGCTCAGAGCCTGAAGCCTGTTTCAGATTCTGTGTCTCCCTCTCTCTGACCCTCCCCCATTCATGCTCTGTCTCTCTCTGTCTCAAAAATAAATAAACCTTAAAAAAAAAAACTGTGCCTGGTCGTGGCCACTGCAGCAGGAGTGTTTTATTTATTTATTAAAAAAAATTTTTTTTTAACATTTATTCATTTTTGAGACAGAGAGAGACAGAGCATGAACGGGGGAGGGTCAGAGAGAGGGAGACACAGAATCTGAAACGGGCTCCAGGCTCGGAGCCATCAGCCCAGAGCCTGACGCGGGGCTCGAACCCACGGACCGCGAGATCATGACCTGAGCTGAAGTCGGACGTCCAACCGACTGAACCACCCAGGTACCCCAGGAGTGTTTTATTTAATGCTTACAACAAATACCCTCCAGTTACAGATTAAGAAGCTGAGAGATGAGGTCACGGTCGCATCCTGAGACCGGCATCGACCCCAAAGCCCGTGACCTTTGTGGCCCGAGCCGTTACCGCCTTCAAGCGCTTCCCCTGCCGGGAACTTTGCTGGGCGTTTACTCATTCAGTGTCTGCTTTAGCCAGGCTGCGTGTCAGACACCCCCCAGGCCCCAGCTCCCTGTAGCAGCGGCACGCGCTTTCCATACTCCCCCCGCTTCGCTGAGATGCAACTGACAGGTGACCTTGTGCGAGTGTGAGACGGAGGCTCGTATGACGCGATGCGCGCATACGCTGGGAGATGGTGACCACGACCAGGTCGCTTGCCTTCAGTAAGGTCCTTCACCTCCCGTAATCACCCGTCTCTGGTGCGCGGTGGGAACATGAAGCACGCGGCGCGGTGTCGTCGACCACGGTCACCACGCGGCAAATCAGATACCGCAACTCACTGGTCTTACCCCCGGAAGTTTGTTTGGCTGCCATCTCCCCGTTTCCCCCGCTCACCAGCCCCTGGCAACCACCGTTCCAAGCTCTGTTTCTGAGAACTCAGCTTTTCTAGATTCCGCCTGTAAGTGAGGTCATACGGTATTTGTCTTTCTCCAGATAACTTATTTCACTTAGGACAATGCCCTCGAAATCCATTTATGTTGTTGCCAATGGCAGGATTTCCTTCTTTTTTTTATGGCCAAGATTCCATTGTGTCTGTGTATCTTCTTTATCCATTCATCCATCAATGGACACGTAGGGTGTTTCCATGTCTTGGCTATAAACATCTATTTTCCTTCCTCACGGGTTGGCCAGAATGCTGTGCTTCAGGCTGTGGGTCAGATCCAGGGCTGTGTCATGTGTCTCCTTGCTCTTGGACCAGTAGCTCCCCAAGGTGTGCCCTCCTCCTGGCACAGGAGACTTGGAGTTGGCCATTGTCAAATTCCACTGGCCACACGTTCCACTGGCCACAGCAAGTCATGTGGCTGAGTCTATCACCAATGGCATGGGGCACATTCTCTGCCCGCAGTGGATCTTGGCAAAGGTGGGGAGGCAAAGAAGAATTGGGAGTAACTAATTTCTCCCAGCTTGCGTATAAAAAACCCTAAAGTTGAGGGGCGCCCGGGTGGCTCAGTCGGTTGAGCGTCCGACTTCGGCTCAGGTCGTGATCTCACGGTTCGTGAGTTCGAGCCCCATGTTGGGCTCTGCACTGACAGCTTGGAGCCTGGAGCCTGCTTTGGATTCTGTGTCTCACTCTTTCTCTGCCCCTTCCCCACTCGCACTTTGTCTCTCTCTCTCTGTCTCTCTTTCTCTCTCTCTAAAATAAACATTAAAAATTTTTTTTGAAAAACTGTGAAGTTTAGGTAAATGATGCAACTTGCCTAAGATTGGATAGCCAGTCAGTAGATTAGCTGGACCTGTCCCAGTTCAAGGCCCACATCTTCTCCTGCCCCACACTACCTGCCTTTGCTCTGGCCCTGGTCCACCTTTCTAGACAGGTCTCCTGCTGCCATCTTCCCCCCGCCGGCCCCCCGCCACTCTGTGGTGCCCATACTTAGCTGACTTGTGTCTGTCCCGACTCCCCAGGGTTGAGCACCCTTGCTCCCACACCCTCGGCCCTCTCTCTTTGTCTCTGTCACAGCCTTGAGCACACGGAAGCCTCAGGGCGGGTGCTTACCACCTGTGACCCAGCATCTGATGCTCCTGTCAGCTTCAGCGAGGGTGGAACTGTCCAGTGATCAGACGCTAAATGCTTCCTTTCCTGGGAGACATATGGTGACTGATCACTGATGGCCGACCCCAGACTACCAGGCCTGGACCACAGGCCTGGGAGGCAGGGCGTGCACGGCAGGGCAGCCGTGGGCCTTCCGCTCCCAGTGAGAATGTGAACCCCGCGGCCCCAGCTGCAGACTCGGCAAGGCCAGCTTCCCCTCTCTGTGAATTAACCTCTGCCACTCTCCTCCCCACTTACTTTTTCATGGCTTCTGTTTTATTTTTTTTATTTTCCAATGTTTATTTATTTTTGAGAGAGAAAGAGACAAGACAAGCAGCGGAAGGGCAGAGAGAGAGAGAGAGAGGGAGACACAGAATCTGAAGCAGACCCCAGGCTCCGAGCTGTCAGCAGAGCCCGATGTGGGGCTCGAACCCATGAACCATGAGATCATGACCTGAGCTGGAGTCGGACACTTAACTGACTGAGCCACCCAGGTGCCCCTGAGTCATTATTGTAAACATACCCACCTCATGGTCACCTCTATTCTTGGCCACTGGTTACTGGTTTTGTTCCCTCTGTGCAGATGGGGTCCTGGGCAGCCACTTGTAGGGAGCGGAGGACGGATGGGGGGGCCTGGTAGAATCCTGTGGGACAGTTAGCAGGTGAGTTTGTCATTCTGTCCCCCTGGCGGGTGTCTCCTTGGACAGGGCACTTGGGCAGTGACACAGGCAAAGGTACCAATGTGTGTGCAGGAGGGACCTTCTGTTAGCCCATGATGAGTGTCCACAGTCACATTAAAAACAAGTCACTGTTACTGGTGAATGCCAAGCTCTTAGTCATTGTCTCCTGACCTACTGCTTTTTGTTTTTTTTTTTTTTTTAAATTTTTTTCAACGTTTTTATTTATTTTTGGGACAGAGAGAGACAGAGCATGAAGAACGGAAGGGGCAGAGAGGAGAACCTAGAATGGAAGCAGGCTCCAGGCTCTGAGCCGTCAGCCCAGAAGCCTGACGGGCTCAACTCGGACCAAGAATGACCTGGCTGAAGTCGGGACGCTGCCATTCGCTGAACCGACCAATTCAGGCGCCTTTGTTTTTTTAATTTGTTTGGCTGACTATTTTTTAGGGGTGGGGCATGGTCAGAGAGCCAGGGAGAGACAGAACCCCAAGCAGGCTCTGCACTGTCAGCAGAGAGCCCGGATGCAGGAGCTCACCCTGCTCCAACCAAGGAATGACCCAAGCCAAAATCAAGAGTCAGATGCTTAACTGAGCCACCCAGGCCCCTCCGACCTGTTCGGCTTTTAAACTACCGCTGGGCAGCTCCGGCTGTCAGTCAGTGGAGCGTGCGACTCTTGATCTCAGGGTTGTGGGTTTGAGCCCCAGGTTGGGGGTAGAGGTTACTTACAAAAAAAATGTTTTTTTAATTAAAAAGGAAACTCTCGCTTTCTTTGCTCTAGTGTATGCAGTGTTCGGATTTACCAGTGTGGTGAACCTCATCATAGCACTGGAACAGGACGGAATCATTGACGGGTTTGTGACGCACTACTTGAGAGAGGTATGGCATCGCTTAGCAACCGTAAGCCTGACGCCAAACGGTCAGCAGCCTCAGCCATGGGGCTCAGAGACGAAATCCCTCCGTTTGGTGTAAGCAGGCACGGTCCGTGGCATCGCTCACTGCCACGGACGCAGCGGGTTTACTCACGTGCAAAGCGGGGGGCACTCCTCTCCAGAGTTCGGCCGTACACCTGTTCCCTCACACCCGCTCCACTCCCCTTTTCCAGGAATGAGATCCTCCAAGTGAATTCAGTGTTTGGTGTCTGTTACCGTGAAACCATTACTACGGCCAAAAGCTCAGGCTGGTCTTACATGTGGAAAGTGGCGACCACCACGGCACTTACGGAAGCCACTTGATTGCGATGACCATCCTTCCCTCCCCGTCGTCATGTGCTAGTGCTGCCCGGCACTTGAGACACCTAATCCTCCTCCCTGTGTTACGGTGGACGAATCCGGCCCCAGAGAGCTTAGGTCACTTGCTCAAGGTCACGCAGGAAATAAGGAAGGAGCAGAGCTGAAAGTTTCGCCTTCGTCTGTGTTTCAAATAATGGAGAGCTTCGTCTGCAAGCTAAGGGGGTTTGGACTTTATCTCACACTCGAGGGAAGATTTTGAGCCAGGGAGCGATGCAGTCAGCTCTAGGAAGGATGGGCTCGAAGGGGAGGCTTTTGCAGGGCCAGTGAGGGCAGGCGGGTGGCCAAGCACAGGAGGTATGGAGGAGGGACGAACTTCAGAGAACCGGAGTCTTTGGAGTGAGCGGGACCCAAGGATGAGTTGGGGGTGATGGGAAAGTAAGACATCCTGCCTCCTGCTTTTGGAAGTATGCAGGTGTTATTAAGCCCAGAGGGGCGAACCGGAGGAATTTACTTCTAAAGACAGTAGCCGGAGTAGACTGTGGGGTCACGAGACCTGCTTTCTCCCGCCAGGAGCTGTCTCAAGTGGAGACAAGTCCTAGCTGTCCTAGGAGCAGTGATGGAGGCACACACTGGGCACACCGTATGGGCACACCTATGAGATATCACGGGTTCGGTCCCAGCCTGCTGCGTTAAAGCAAGTATCATGACAGAGCACCTCACATGGATGTTTTGGTTTCCCAGTGCATGTGAAAGTTATGTTTATGGGGCGCCCGGTGGCTCAGTCAGATAAGCATCCGACCTCGGCTCGGGTCACGACCTCACAGCTCGTGGGTTCAAGCCCCGCGTCGGGCTCTGTGCTGACAGCTCGGAGCCCGGAGCCTGCTTCGGATTCTGTGTCTCCCTCTCTGTCCCTCCCCTGCTTGCGCTCTGTCTCCCAAAAATAAATAAGTAAACATTAGAAAAAAGTTATGTTTACACTACACTGTAGTCTGTTAAGTGTGCAATAGCATTAGGTCCAAAAAGCATACATACCTTAATATTAAAATGCTTTATTGCAAAAACTGCCAACCACTGTCGAAGGTCTCGGTGAGTCATCTTCTGCTGGTGGAGGGTCTTTGCCTCCATGTTGGTGGCTGCGGACTGATCAGGGCGGTGGTCGCTGAAGGTGGGGGTGGCCGTGGCCGTTTCCTAGGATAAGACGACAGTGACGTTTGCCGAGGACAGGAAGATGCTGTGCAGGGAGGTGCAGCGGTCAAACACACCCAGCAGTTGCTACGTTCACCGTCTTGTGTGGGTGCGGTTCGTGGGGCCTCAGAACAGTCACAATAGTAACAGCAAAGATCACCGGTCACAGATCACCGTAGCAACTCTGCCAGGAATGACAAAGTTTGAAATATTGCCGGAATTACTAAAATGTGACACAGAGACACAAAGTGAGCAAATGCGGTTGGAAAAACGGCCCCATGAGACTTGCCTGATGGAGGGTGGCCACAGAGCTTTAATTCGTAAAAAAACAAAAAACAAAAAACACAAGACAAACAACTCAGTGTCTGCGATGCACAATGAAGCAAAAGGGCAGTAAAACAAGGTGTTACCTGTGCACAGAGGAAGAACTAAGTCCGGAAGCAGTCAGGGGAGTCCCCATCGAATTTGTGATACTGCTCTAGCATTTTTTAAAAAAAATTTTAATGTTTATTTTTGAGAGACCAAGCATGAGCAGCGGGAGGGGCAGAGAGAGAGGGAGACACAGGATCCGAAGCAGGCT